TTTTCCTCCCCCCCTATTTTTTGTCTTTCCTTGGATAACTTTTCCATTTCTCCCTCTTCCCACGCCAGGAATTTTCATTTTTTTTTGGGGGTCGACCGGTGAAATTTTGTTCACCCCCACTCCACTCCTGGAATACCAACGTGAATAAAAAAACCAACAAACCGGGAATTCCAAAGCGGGTGAAAAACAGGGAAAGGACCAACCGGGAGAACCCCGGTGGGACCGAATTTTCGGGAAAAAACCGGGGGAGGAGGGAGCGCTGGGAGCCGGGATTTTTGGGATCCCGACATCCCGAATTTCCCGCGGGCGGGTCCCGGGGCGGGCGGAGCCGCGGCCCGGAGCGGATCGCGTCCCGCTCCGCCCTCCGGGAGCACCGGGAATATCAGGAGCGGCGGGATGCGGCGGGCCGTGGAGCGCGGAGCCCCGCGCCGCCGGCAGCGGAGGGAGCAGCGCTGCCCGCGGTGCCCGCTCCGAGCCGGGGCCAGGTGAGACCGAGCCCGGCCCTCGGCGCCGCTCCCGGTACCGGGCACCGGGCCGCCGGCACCGCAGCGCCGGGAAGGGCCGCGGGAGACGGCGCCACGTGGAGCGGCGCCGGGGACCGGGACAGAGCTGGGCTGGGCGTGGGGGAGCGGCAGCGGGAGTGGGGAACCGGGAAACGGAGCGGTCCCGGGATTGGGGAACCGGGAACTGGAGCAGCGCCGGGGTGCGGGACCGGGGACTGGGGTGCGGGACCGGGAACCGGAGCGGCCCCGGGACTGGGGACCGGGAATTGGGGAGAGGGACCGGGAACCGGAGCGGCCCCGGGACTCGGGACCGGGGATTGGGGAGAGGGACCGGGAAACGGAGCGGCCCCGGGACTCGGGACCGGGGATTGGGGAGAGGGACCGGGACTCGGAACCGGGGATTGGGGTGCGGGACCGGGAACCGGAGCGGCCCCGGGACTGGGGACCGGGGATTGGGGTGCGGGACCGGGAACCGGAGCGGCCCCGGGATGCGGGGAGGGAGCTAGGCCGGGCGTGGGGGACCGGGACCCGGCACCGGGAGTGGGGAACCGGCAACCGGAGCGGTCCCGGGGTGCGGGACCGAGCTGGGCCGGGCGTGGGGGACCGGGACCCGGCACCGCGAGTGGGGAACCGGGGATTGGGGAGAGGGACCGGGCACCGGAGCGGCCCCGGGATGGGGGGACCGAGCTGGGCCGGGCGTGGGGAACCGGGAGCGGGCAGCGGGAGTGAGGAACCGGGAACCGGAGCGGCCCCGGATTTGGGGGACCGGGCACCGGAATGGCCCCGGGGTGCGGGACCGAGCTGGGCCGGGCGTAGAGAACCGGGACCCGGCACCGGGACTGGGGGACCGGGCACCGGAATGGCCCCGGGGTGCGGGACCGAGCTGGGCCGGGTGTGGGGGACCGGGAGCGGGCACCGGGGGTGGGACACCGGGAACCGGAGTGGTCCCGGGATGGGGCATAGGGGCTGGGGGACCAGGAGCGGTCCGCACACCCGGGGCTGCCCCGGGTTTGGGGGACACCGGTCCAGGCCCGAATTTGGGGAACCGGGGCTGCCCTGGGCACCGGGGAGAACCCCGGGGTGAGGGTCCAAATGCAGGTCCCGGTCACAGGGTCCAGCTCCGGTCACCGGGGATGTCCCGGGGGAGAAAAGTGGGGGGATCCGGTCACCGGAGCAGCCGCGGAGGTGGGGACCGGGACCGGGACTTGTGGGCCGGAACCGGGCGCCGGAGCTGCCCCGGGAGAGGCGGGGGAGCCGGATCCGGGCACCGGGGCAGCTCCGAGCTGGGGAGACCGAGGCGGTCCCGGGGCGGAGGTCGAGAACCGGAGCAGCCCCGGAGGTGGGGACCGGGATCTGGGGATCCGGGGGCTGGTCTGAGTTTGGGGGACCGAAACCGGGACCTGGGGACCCAGAACCGGAGATGGGGACCGGGACCAGGGACCCAGAACCGGGCACCGGAGCTGGTCTGAGTCTGGGGGACCGAAACCGGGACCTGGGGACCCAGAACCGGGCACCGGGGCTGCCCCGAGTCTGGGGGACAGAAACCGGGACCGGGGACCCAGAACCGGGCACCGGGGCTGGTCTGAGTCTGGGGGACCGAAACCGGGACCTGGGGACCCAGAACCGGGCACCGGGGCTTGGTCTGGGTTTGGGGGACCGAAACCGGGACCAGGGACCCAGAACCGGAGATGGGGACCGGGACCGGGGACCCAGAACCGGGCACCGGGGCTGGTCTGAGTCTGGGGGACCGAAACCGGGACCTGGGGACCCAGAACCGAAGATGGGGACCGGGACCGGGGACCCAGAACCGGGCACCGGGGCTGGTCTGAGTTTGGGGGACCGAAACCGGGACCTGGGGACCCAGAACCGGGAACCGGGGCTGCCCCGAGTTTGGGGGACCGAAACCGGGACCTGGGGACCCAGAACCGGGCACCGGGGCTTGGTCTGAGTTCGGGGGACCGAAACCGGGACCTGGGGACCCAGAACCGGAGATGGGGACCGGGACCGGGGACCCAGAACCGGGCACCGGGGCTGGTCTGAGTTTGGG